TCTCGCTCGTCGGGGGCCTCCCGCGCGGGGAGGAACTCCGGGAACTCCGGGATGAAGCCCGGCTGCGGCTTCGCGGGATCGCCGGAGCAGCAGAGCATCATGTTCAGCAGCTGCTGCCGGTCGTCCGGTTCGGCTGGTCGCATGACCTTCTCCGCGACGGCGCTGCCGCACTCGAAGGCTTCGCCTTCCGTGAAGGCGTCCTTGCCGCGCGCCGCCGCGCAGTGCTCGAGGATCATGTCGATGCTCACCTCGATGCGGAAGACGAGGAAAATGTACTCGGGGAAGTCCAGCGACTCCATGTGCGTGCCGCCCTCCGCGAGCTGCGCAAAGGTCGCGGCGGCCTCCTCCCGGGACTTGACGGCCGTCGACGCGCTCGGCTGGAAGAGCCCGTCGGCGCACAGGGGCGACGCGGGACTGCAGGGCGGCGGCGGCGGTTCGTCGGTCATGGCACAGCCCGGGCAGCGCGGAGCAGCCTATCCGGACGGCTACTCGCAATCCATTCTATCCGGACGCCTGCCCGCAACCATTGGAAGCCAGGCGAGGGCAACACAACCAAACTTGGCCCTTCTTGAAGGTGACGAGTGCGATCGATCGACCTTCCGTCGGGGACGCTGCCCCGGGGTTTAGGCGGCGTCGGCTGCCCCGCGGCGGGTCATGGTCCAGGGCTGCGCCCAGGTCGACGAGACGTACTGCGAGCATGTGACCTGGTACGTCTCGCCCGCGTCCCGGCGCCGTCGCGCGCGCTTCTCCACCGGCGATGTCGTAGGGGGATCATCGGCGACCAATTCAAGGTCGCGACCATCCTCTTTGCGCTCATCATGGGCGTCGCCATCGTCGTCTGCTTCGTCCTCGAGGTCTGGGAGCGGGTCCATGCCGCGCGGTCCGAACGGAGCGGCAAGGGCACCGTGGAGGTGCAGGACGAGAGCCGGAGCGGCGGCGAGGAGGACCGGCGGCACGCGCCCTTCCACGAGGGCGACGAGCGCGTCGGCGCGGGCCGCCTGAAGGGGACGCTCCTCGAGGCCGTCGCCCTGCGGCTCCAGCGGCCCGCGTTCACGCTGTCGCGCGCGAAGATCCTGCGCCACACGAGCCTGCTCTTCCGCGCGCGCGACTGGCTCGACCTGCTCAACCTCGTCAGCTCCTGCGTCGTCGTCGTCAACTGGGCGCGGAAGACCTACGTGCGCCGCGTGACCGTGACGTCGCAGCGCGTCGACCTGCCCTGCGCGTGCTGCATCGCGCTCAGCCTCCTCTACGACTACTGCCTCCACCAGGGCAGGAAAAGAGTGCGAAATTCCCAAAGGCTCCTCTCTCGGCCGTTTTCCAGTCGTTTCGGCTGATTTTTGGAGGAGCGATCATCTCTCGGAGCGGTCTCGAAGCGTCGATGCTTTTTCCGGAACGCGCGCGCGCGGATAACTCACGTCGAAGCGACGTTGAATCTCTCTTTTCCCGCGCAGGCCTCCACGGCGGCTGGACGCTCGCGTCGCCGCGCGCGTTCTTCGACTACCTGACCATGGGCCCGTTGCTCTTCGACAAACGCGTGTCCGGCGGCGCGACGGGCCGCGGCGCGTGGTTCACGCTCGCGTACCTCCAGAGCGGCCAGGTCATCCGCATCGTGGCCATGTGCGACCGCGAGCGGCGCTTCGGCGACGTGCTGAGCGAGGTGCAGTCGTCCGTGCTGAACGTGGCCGTGGAGTTCTGCGGGGTCATGGTGCTCCTGAGCGGGACGACCTACGCGCTCGAGCTGTTGGGGGACCCGCCGGGCTACGAGGACAGTTACGTGTCCGTCGGGTCCGACTCGATGGGCCAGATCTCCTTCTTCCAGATGATCTACTACACGTTCATCACCATGTCGACGGTGGGCTACGGCGATTATTCGCCCGCGACGGTCTTCGGGCGCCTCTTCATCTTCGTGTCCGTCATCGTCGGCGTCACGCTCTTCTCGTCGTCCGTGGCGACGTTTGTCGAGCTGAGCCGGCTCCGCGCGTCGGGCGCGGGCGCCTACCGGAGCCACAAGACGCGGGGCCACGTCCTCGTCGTCGGGTCCGGCGTCGGCTGCGGCAGCCGCTTCGCCGTCGAGTCGTTCCTCAAGGCGCTCGTCGGGCCCACGCGTTCGAAGGTGCCCGAGGTCGTCTTCATGGCCCACGCGCCCCGGAGCCACGCGGTCACGGAGCTGCAGGCCGAGCCCTGGGGCGCGCTGCTCCACTACTTCGTCGGGTCGCCGCTCCTGCCCAGGGATCTGGAGCGCGTCGCCTGCGGCGACGCGCGCATGGTCTTCGTGATCCCGAACATCTCGTCGAAGAACCCGGACGAGGAGGACGAGCGGAACATCCTCCGGGCGGCGGCCGTGCGCCGCGCGTACCCGGCGGCGCCGCTCCGCCTCGTGCTCCTGCGGCTCCGGAAGCGGTCGTTGGCGGCGGACGTGGGCATCCCGGCGGCGTCCTGCTACGCCTTCAACGACCTCAAGGCGTCGCTCCTCGCGACGGCCAGGGCAGCAAAAGAGAGCGAACTTCCCAACTTCAAAGGCTCCGATCTCGGCCGTTTTCCACTCGTTTTGGCTGATTTTTGGACGAGCGATCATCTCTCGGAACGGCCTCGGAGCGTCGATGTTTTTTTCGGAACACGCGCGCGCGGAACACTCACGTTGAAGAGACGTTGAATCACCCTTTTGCTGCCCAGGCGACGGCGGTCCACTCCGTCGGCGCGAGCTCCCTCGTGCTGAACCTCGCGCTGCCGCCCATCGAGGCGCCGCCGGACCGCGACGACTACGGGCGGACGCTCGAGACGCTCCACCGGCTCTTCCCGGGGCTCGCGGCGCCAAACGACGAGCGGCCCGTGGACCGCTGGGTCTGCGAGTACGTCGCCGGCTCGGCGATCGCGCCCCACGGCTTTCTACCGGCGGACGCGCTCGTGGGGCGGACCTTCGGCGAGGCCGCGGCGGTCGTCGCCGTCGAATCCGGCGCGCTCCTACTGGCGGCGCAGGACCCGGCCACGGGGCTCTTCGCGCTCAACCCGCGGACTCAGGTCGTCGAGAGCGACACCGTGCTCTTCGCGCTCGCGGGCCACCGGTGCCTCGTGCTCGACGTCGCCGCGGCCGACAGCGAGGACCGCTGGGCGGCGGAGATGCGGCGCGTGCGCGCGGAGACGGCCCACGTCCACGAGGCCGCGGACCCGCTGGAGGAGCGCCGCGACGAGGGCGACGTCGTCGACGGGAAACGGACGCGGCTCCCGCGGGCCGCGTCGACGGTCAAGGCCATGAACCGCGCGGCCAAGTTCCGGGACAGGTTCCTCGCGCCGCCGGCGCTCGCGGGCCTCGTGCGCCACCGGTCGCGCATCCGGCTCGAGAACGCGGCCGCGCCGCCGACGACGCGGCATTTCGACCGGTCCGCGAGCCTGCCCGTCGAGCGCGAGACCAGCTTCCACCAGGACGCGGAGGACCTGCGGGACGTCGTCGACGACGGCGGCCACGTCGTCCTCGCCCTCCTCGGCGACCACCTCTGGCCCCAGGCCGAGAGCGTCATCGCGAAGTTCCGCGGCTCCGCGCCGACGCCCGTCGCAGTGTGGATTCCAACCACTGGTTTGGGTGGTCCCCACCAAACTTCAGAACTCTCTATCTCGGTCAAATCGAAGTCGATTCGGCTGATTTTTGGACGAATCGATTGCTCTCGTCAAGTCCTCGAAGCACAGCGAAAGAGTCTGGTCCGAGCCGTTCGATTACGCGCACATTGAAGTCGGGTTGAAGATTTGGAATCCACACAGGCCCGTCGTCGTCCTCGCGCCCTACGCGCCGACGCGCGAGCTCCCGCACCGGTCCTTCTTCGTCGCCGGCACGCCCAAGCGCCAGGCCGACCTCGCGCACGCGGGCGTCGCGACCTGCGCGCGCTTCGTCACCGTGGGCGCCAGGGCGGCAAAAGAGAGCGAACTTCCCAACTTCAAAGGCTCCGATCTCGGCCGTTTTCCACTCGTTTCGGCTGATTTTTGGACAAGCGATCATCTCTCGGAACGGTCTCGAAGCGTGGATGCTTTTTTCCGGAACGCGCGCGCGCGGCACACTCACGTTGAAGCGACGTTGAATCTCTCTTTTCCTGCGCAGGTGGGCGCGCTCGCCGCGCCGGACGTCGAGGAGCACCTCGCGGATTCGCAGAACGCGATCATCCAGTGCGTCGTCGAGAAGTTCCTGATAGCGGCGGGCAACGACGCCGCCGTCGTCGCCTACGACTGGAACTCGTCGGCGAACGTGCTCCAGCTCCGGGGGCGCCGCGACGACGGCGATGGCGGCGGCGACGGCGGCCGGCTCGCGGCGGACGAGGGCGAGGGCCGGCTCCACGCGCGCTACGTCGCGGGCGAGGTGCTGCCGCGGAGCGACGTCATGGGCGCCTACGCGCTGCCCTGCTTCGCGCCGGGCGCGCTCGAGGTCGTCGACGCGCTCCTCGTCGCGCGGCGCCGCGGCGACGCGACGCTGCGGATCGCGGCGCTGCCGCCGGCCTACGTGCGCCACCCCTACACGTCCCTGGCCATGGTCCTCATCGACCGCGGCGCCGTGCCCGTGGGCATGCTCCGCCGGCCGACGCCGGCGACCGCGGCGCTCGCGGCGTTCTACCCCGTGACGTGCAGCCCGCTCGAGCGCTACGCGCTTCGCGAGAGCGACCGCGTCGTCTTCGTGGCGTCCGACGACTGGGTCGCGGCGAACGGTGACCTCTGCGGGCCTCCGCCGCCCCGGGGCCCGCCGGGGTCCCCGCGGGCGGCGCCCGCGGCCGCGGACGCGGCGGACGCGCCCGCGGCGGCCGCGGAACCGGAGGACGCCGCGCCGCTGGAGCCGCCCGCGCCCGAGTCGCCGGAGCCGTCGCCGGACAGGGCCCACCTCGAGATCGAGAACGTCGGCGCGCCGCCGTCCGCCGCGGAGCCCGAGGACCTCACCTTCGACATGCTCCCCGCGCCGTCGCCGCCGGAGAACGGCGACGCGCTGTCCCAGTGGACGCGCCAGTCCTGGGGGCTCTCGTGTTAGCCTAGCGGCAGCTCCAGAGGCGGACGAGGCGGTCGTCGCCGCCGGAGACGAGCGTCTTGGCGTCGCCGCAGAGCGCGAGCGCGGCGACGAAGCCCGCGTGGGCGTCGTCGAGGGACGCGACGACGCGGCCGTCGGGCACGTCCCAGACCTTGATGGACCGGTCGTCGGACGCCGTCGACAGGCGCCTGCCGCACGGGTGCCACGCGAGGCACCGGACCCAGGACCCGTGGGCCGCGAGGACGCGGAGGCACGCGGGCGCCGGCAGCCCCGTCGCGCCCGCCGCCGGGTCCGGCGCGACGCGCCAGACGCGGGCCTCGCCGTCGCGCGCGCACGTCGCCACGACGACGCTTCGCCGCGCGGCCGCGCCGTCCGCGAGCGAGAGCTTCGCGTAGGCCGCGGCGTCGACGGCGCGCGTCGCCGCGTCCGGGCCGAAGGCGACGGCCTCGACGGCGTGGGCGTGGCCCGCGAGGGGTTGGGCCGCGTCGGCGAGCGCGCCGCCCGCGCCGAGCGCGAAGATCCGAGCCGTATTGCCGCCGCACGTCGCGACGAGCGCGGCGCAGTCGCCGCCGTAGCGCGCGCCCCGGGCGCAGCGCCGCGCCGCGCAGCCCCGCAACGCCTCGCCGGCGCCGTGGGGCGCGCGCGCGGCGCCGAGCGCGGCGCCGTCCGCGGGCCGCCAGCAGCGGACGTCGCCGTCGCGCGACGCCGTGACGACCGCGGCCGCGTCCGCGCCGCCGTCGCCGTGGGCGAAGCAGCCGCCGCTCACGGCGCCGCCGTGGCCCCGGAGCGTCGCGCCGGCGCCGCCGCCCGCGGCCACGGCGGCCGCGGGCCAGACCTTGGCCGTGCCGTCGGCCGAGCAGCTGAGGAGCGCGCCGCCGTCGTCGAAGGCGAGCGCGAGCACGGCGTCGACGTGGCCGCCGAGCGACCCGGCGGCGGCGCCACTCGCGCAGTCCCAGAGCCGGATCGCGCCGTCCTCGGCGCCCGTCGCCGCGAGGCCGCCGCTCGCCGCCGCGCAGGTCACGGCGCCGCGGTGGCCGCGGAGCGCGTGCGCGCAGGGCGCGCGCGGCGCGTAGGACCCGCCGGGCGGCGGCGTCGCGCGGCCGCCGGCCTTGGCCTTGGCCTCCAGGTCGAGGACGCGCCGCTGGAGCCGCACGACGGACACCCACTTGCGCTCGAGGGCGCCGGGCTGGGCGGCGGCGTCCGGCGGCGCCGGCGCGAAGGCGTCCGCCGCGGCCGGCGCGACTTTCTTGAGGTATTCTAATACTGCGGCGTCCAGCTGCGCGCGCTCCTTGCCGCTGAGGCCGCCGACGAGGGCGGACATCGTTGCGGTGCTAGCTGCGGCAAGCGGGTCGCGCGATGAGCTTGTTGGGGCGCGGCGCACTGATCTTTTAGCCACTTTTTGTTGCACTTGTGGTAATTCGAGCCGCAGCATCCTTCGTCGCGAGCGCCGCCGCCGCCGCTGCCGCCGCGCCGCTGTCGTCATCGTCGTCGTCACGCGCCGCCGTCGTCGTCGTCACGCGCGCGTGGAAATTCGACTTCGAGAACGCAAATCATGGGCGTTTACGCGACAATTTTCGTCCTCTACCTGGCCCTGGACTACATCCTCGGCTTCGCGGCGACGCAGGCCATCAAATACTGCATGAATTACGACATCCAGATCACCTGGCTCTCGATCCACCTGGGCTGGAGCGAGGTCACGATCAGCCTGGGCCCGCTCATGTGGAGGAACCCGAAGAAGTTCCAGGAGACGCCCTTCCTGCTCAAGCTCGGCCGCGTGAGCCTGCGGCTCAGCCCGCGGAGCGTCTACGCGCACCTGGCCGGCGGCGGCGGCGGCGCCGCGCCGCCCGTCGACGTCGACAACTTCGAGGTCGAGGGCGTGAAGCTCCACCTGGAGCGCAACGCCAAGGGCCTGAACCTCTGGGCGGCGCTGGGCGTCTCGGACGAGGAGGGCCAGGCGCGCGCGGACGAGAGCCGCGCGTGCGACGCCGCGGGCCGCTTTGACCCGGCCGCCTTCGACGACGACGGCACGGACGAGGCGGCGCCGGGCGCCGCCGCCTGCGCGGCGGCCGACGACGCCCTGGCGCGGCTCCGCGTCGAGCGCATCTGCGTCCGCGGCTGCCGCTTCAACGTCGACGCGTTCCTCAAGGCGTCGAAGACCAAGGCCGACGCGAAGGAGAACGTCGTCAAGATCCGGTGCCTCGAGCTCGTCCACGACGAGCTCCGGCCCTCCTCCAAGAGCGGCCGCGACGTCAAGGGCGGGCTCCACGCCGACGAGGTCGTGAGCCGGCTGGTGTGGCGCGTCGTCGACGAGGTGACCAAGGGCAACGCGGGCGTGCTCCTGAAAGCCGCGGCGGGCGCGGCCGCGGACCAGTCCATCGCGGCCGTGAAGAACGCGTCGAACGCGGGCGTCAAGGCCACGGGCGGCGCGATCCTGAACGCGGGCCACCGCACGTCCGTGAAGGTAAACGACCGCCTCAAGGACGGCTTCACCGAGTTCGCCGCGGAGAAGCTCGAGATCTGGGTCCTCGGCGGCAAGCACCTCGCGGGCAAGCCCAGCGCCTACCTGAAACTCCAGATCGGCAAGAAGGGCGTCAAGGCCAAGACCAAGGTCGCGACGGCGTCGAGCAACCCGGCCTGGCACGAGCTCGTCGCGCTCGCGCCCGTCGAGAGCCTCGACCTCGACCTCCGCGTCCAGGTCTACGACCGGCGGCTCCTCCAGGGCGACGCGCAGCAGGGCGCGACGCTCAAGCTGCCGCTGGCGGAACTCGAGCCGAACGTCGAGCAGGACGCGTGGTTCGCCGTGCCGCCCGCGGACGGCGACGCGACGGCCGCCGGCGGGAAGGAGCCCGCGGTCCACCTCAAGCTCCGCCTCGTCGTGTCGTAAGGGGGCGCGTCTTTTTTTCCTGTGGAAGGGTTTTTAGCGTGTCCTTTACTTCATCTTGCATCGGGAACAAGCCGAGCTCGAGCCACTCTGGCGCATAGACCACCGCCGCGCACGTCGCCGCCAGCCAGCATGCTGCTGCGCCGCCTCGCCCGGCGCGCGCCGTCCCTGGTCCTGGGCCGCGGCGCGCCGGCGCGCGCCTTCGCCGACGCGCCCTTCGACCACGTGAAGACGGAGCGCGAGATCGGCGAGCTGCAGCGCAGCGTGCGCGACGCGCTGGGCGCCCAGGACGTGGCGACGGCGACGGCGGCGAGCGAGGCGCTGATGGCGCTCGCGCGCGAGTCCTACGGCGAGGAGCGGAACCCCGTGCTCGCCGCCGCGTACAACGACGCCGCGCTCTGCGTCAAGGCCGCGGGCGACTACGAGGCCGCGGGCCTGCTGCTCGCGAGGTCCGTGCAGGCCTACGAGACCTGCGGCATGGGCGACCACGCGTCGACGGCGACGTCGCTCCACAACATGGGCGTCTGCTACAAGGAGCACGCGGCGCGGCCGCAGATCCGCGGCTTGGAGCGCGCGGCGCTCCTCGACCGCGCGGCCGAGGCGCTCGAGGAGTCGGTGCTCCGCCGGGAGCGGAGCGCGGGCTTCGACGCCAAGCGCGACGCGCCGGCCCTCGCGACGACGCAGGTCATCCGCGCGTCCGTGCTGCGGCTGTCGAAGAAGCCGGGCGACGCCGCGGACGTGCTGGACGGCGCGATCTCGTCGCTCCGCGTGGCGTTGGCGCACACGCCCGTCGACACCATACGCACGGCCCTGGCCGCGGCGCTGAACAACAAGGCCCTCTACGCCAAGCACGACGGCGACGCGGACAACGCCGCGGGGCCTCTCTACGCGGAGGCGCTCGCGCTCCGCGAGGCCGCGCTCGGCGCCGCGCACCCGCTCGTCATCCAGACGCTCCACAACATCGCCGAGCACCTCGACGCGGCGGGCGACGACGACGACGCCAACGGCATCCGCGAGGAGATCCTCCGGCGCTTGGACGTCGACGCGGACGACGCGGACGAGGCCTTCGCGGGGGCCGCGCGCGCCTGGGCGGCGAAGAACGCGCCGCCAAAGTAAGCGGCGTCGTACTTTGGTTTCGGAGCGATCTTGTCGCATTCAGAGCCGCGCGCACGCCGCCGAGGCACATCAACGTTGACCCTTGTAGCCTTCGTCGATGTCGTATTCCTCAACCAGATGGAGGTGGTCGAGTAAAAATGGGTTTTCACAGGCCAAAGATGGCAAAACTCCGGCTGGCATGCACCTTGCTAGCGTGCGCCAAAGGATTAACCCCGCAGCGCATGCCAGCAGCGCCGAAAACGGCGCAAAAGGTCGCGACCGTCGAGGCGCTCGGCGAGGCCGTCGCGGTCGCGGCTCCGGACGCCTTCGACTGGTTCGACCACTGGTACCCCGTGAATGTCGTCGACAGCATGGACCCGTCGCGCCCCCACAAGGTGCAGCTGCTGGGCCTGAACCTCGTGCTCTGGAACGACGGCGCGACCGTCGGCGGCGAGAAGGCCGCGGGGTCGTGGCGCGCGTTCGAGGACTCGTGCCCGCACCGGCGGGGCCCGCTGAGCGAGGGCCGCGTCGAGGACGACGGGACGCTGCTGTGTTCCTACCACGGCTGGCGCTACGACGGCTCCGGCGCGTGCTCGGACCTGCCGTACTCGCCGGAGAGCAAGCGGGAGCGGCACCAGTGCTCGGCGTCGTGCGCGTCGTTCCCCACCCAGGTCGCCGACGGCATGGTCTGGGTCTTTCCCAACAGGGCGATCTCCGCCATCGAGGCGCTGCTCAAGCCCGCGCCTCTCGTCAGCGAGCTGCACGACCCGCGGCCGGGCGAGGACCGCGACTGGCAGGTGAAGATCCCGGCCGGCGTCCGCGACTTCCCCTGCGGCTGGGACACGATGGTCGAGAACACCCTGGACCCGGCCCACTTCTGCGCCGCGCACCACGGCACGCTCGGCGACCGCTACAGCGACCCGCGGGCCTACACCTTCAAGACCACGAAGAAGGTGTCGCGCGACGGCGGCTTCGAGCTCGACGGCGACATGGGCTCGCTGGAGTCAGCGTCGAGCGACGGGAGTGTTTTTTCGAGTGAATGTCGCCTGAAGATGTGAAGAAATCCGACCCCGTCGCACTTGGTAGGCTGGAGTTCGTGCCGCCGTGCCTCGTCAAGTACCGGCCCAACTACGGCGCCATGCCCTTTGAAGGCGCGCTGGTGCTGGCGACGTACTGCGTGCCCACGGCGCCGGGGAAGGTCCGGCCGCTCGCGACGGTGCTGCGCGATCGCGCGGCGCCCTTCGGGGAGACGCTCGCCGAGCGCGCGCTGGCCGTCTTCATGGGGCCGACGTGGTTTCCGGGGCTGGTGCCGAAGTGGTTCGGCCACATCGCGTCGTCCGTCGTGCTGCACCAGGACGCCGCGCTCCTCTACGAGCAGTACCGGAATCTGATCGACGAGGGCTACGAGCCGACGAAGCCCGGCTCGAAATCCTTCAACCAGGTCTGCTACATGCCCAACGACGTCGACCGGGGCGTCACGGCCTACCGGCGCTGGCTCCAGGTCCACGCGGGCGGCGGCGTCCCCTGGGCCTGCGACGACGCGCTGCCGCCGCGGGGCTCCGAGGACATCTTCGACATGTGGGACGCCCACACGAGCCACTGCTCCCATTGCCTGGACGCCTACCGCAACTTCGGGATCGCGCGCGACGTCGCCGCGGGCGCGGTCGTCGTCGCCGCGCTCCTCCCGGACGCCGCGCCTCGGTTGCCCGTGGGCCTCGCCGCCGCGGCCCTCGCGCTCGGCATCGACCGGTTCATGGGCCTCTTCCGGCGCTACGAGTTCTCCCACCATGATAATGATTAGGCTTCGGCAGCATGTCCCGCCGGCGCAGGGAGGAATCACTTGGAGAAGGGAGGCCTAAGGTAAGGGAACGAGGAACGAGAGCACGATCGGAAGAACCAGCCGCCTCCTCTCTCTAGCGCTGTAGGCGACCAGGGCCGCGGAGAAGAGATCCCGGGACTCGCGGGCACTGCAGCGTCTTCGGAGCACTTTGGGCAAAGGCGTGGGCGGCGCGTCAGAGGTCCCCCGCAAGGCGTGAGCGGCGGTGTCGAGGTCCCTTTTGAAGTCATTTTAGCCGGCGGGATATGTCAAACGCCGCTAAAACTTCACATTGTGTGGTGCTCGCGGCGCGCGGTGCAGCGGGCGTCGCAGGCCGACGGGCACGCGAGCGACGCGCTCCGTCCCGCCGCGTCGACCCTGGCACACCGGCGGTCGGGGGCCTTGGCGACGTGCTTGCACGTGCCCCCCCCCACCGCGCCCGCGACCGCCGCGGCGGTCCAGGAGTCGTCGTCGACGCACGCGCACCGCTCGTGCGGGTGTTGGAGGTGGCTGAAGGCGCGGGCGTGGCCGTAGCAGAGCTCACGCATGCACAGGTCCGCGAAGCCCTTCTGCAGGTTCCACACGCAGGGGTCGACCTGCGCGGGCCGCCACCGCGCCTGCGCGTCCGCGGCCGCGTCGCTCGCGCGGCTGCGGTAGAAGAACCAGTGGAAGAAGCCCTGCATGCGCGCCTGGAACCGGCGGGGGTTGTTGTTCGGGCCCCAGCCCTCGCCGTTCCAGCCCGTGCGGGCGTCGACGCGCGCCGTCTCGAGCGCCGCGTGGAGCCGGCGCCGGAGGAGCTCGCTCGGCGGGACGGCGAGGAACGCGCCGTTGACGGGCACCTCGGGCCCGCGCGTCGTGAGGACGCGGCCCTCGGCGACGCAGTCGAAGAGCGGGCCAAAGTCCGCGGTGTCCTCGGGGTCGTAGTCCAGGTCCATGACGATCATCGCGTCGTACTCGCCGTAGCCCATCGGCTCGAGCTTCAGGAACTCCCGGGCCCCGCAGCAACCGCCGCTCTCGACCTTGATGCCCGCGCTCAGCTTCGGCGGCACGACGTGTTCGCTGTAGCGGATTTCGATGCCGAGATCTTCGAGCGCGGCGATCGTTGCGTTGGCCACGGGCACGCGCTGTCGCTCGGGGACCGGGAGGACGACGACGCGGTCCGCGCCGTTGCGCCGGGCCACGCGCGCGACCTTGGCCTCGTGCTCCAGGAGGCCCGGGCCCTTGCGCGACGTGAGCGGGAGCTTGACGTGGGCGTCGAAGACGGAGACGAAGGCCCGGCGCCGCGCCGTGCCGTTGACGCAGGCGCCCAGGTCCTGGCAGTCGACGCCTTCGTCGAAGGCGAGGCATCTCGTTTTCCGCGTCGCCAGCCGAAACGCGACCGTCTCCGCGTCTTCGGCGCCCCGTCCGACGCACAACAGGGCGCAGAGCGCCCACGCCCGCATCTCCTTCGGAACGTTTTCAACTGAGATCGGACCACGTCGTCGCGCCTGCAAAGGAGTCGCCAGGCAAAGTGCCCGCCGCGCGAGAGGAGTCACGCAGCGAGCGACGATTTTGTCGTAAGGCGCACGTCAGGAGCGCGCACCAGGGGACCTCATCAGGAGCCTGAGCAGCCCCTGATCGAATCTCCCGGCACTCTCCCGGAATAATATTGACTTTCTTCCTGCAACGTCGAATGCTCCATCAGTGCACCTCTTCCAGTCGCCGATTTCTCACCTCAGCCCAGGGCCTGCTGGGCGCTGCCTCGTCGTCGCGCGCCTCAGCTCGCTGGCTCCTGCGCGCCTCAGCTCGCTGGCTCCTGCGCGCCTCGCCGTCGTCCTCGCCTCGGCGCTCGCCGCAGCCGGCGCCATGAGCCACGTGGGCCCGAAGCGCTGCCCGGCGCCGAAGGCGGCGCTCTTCGACGTCGACGGCACGCTGGTCGACTCCATGCCGCGCTTCTACCCGAGCTGGAACGAGGCCGGCAAGCTCCACGGCGGCCTGTCCATGTCGCTCGACGAGTTCTACGCCTACGGCGGCTGGCCGCTGCCCGAGATCACGCGCGACCTGCACCGCAAGTGCGTCGGCGCGGAGGCGAGCGACGAGTTCGTGGCGGCGTACCTCGCGACGCACAAGCGGCTCACGGGCGAGCACGAGGCCGTCGTCGGCCCGCCGCCGGTCATCGCGTGCACGGCGGCCATCGCCAGAGAGTGGCTGGCCAGGGGCGTGCCCGTGGTCGCGGCGACGTCGGGCCTGCGGTGCCACGTCGAGGCGCACCTCGCCGCCGCGGGCCTCGGCGAGGTCTTCCCGCCGGAGAAAATCGTCACGGCCGCGGACCTGCCGCCGGGCCGGGGCAAGCCCAACCCCGACATCTTCCAGCGCGCCGCGGCGCTCGTCGGCGCCGACGCGGCGGAGTGCGTCGCCTACGAGGACGCGGAGGCCGGCTTCGAGGCCGCGTACCGCGCGGGCTGCGAGGTCGTCGACGTCCGCGACCTGGCGGGCTACCCGCTCCCGCCGGCGCTCGCGCGGACCATGGCGGCGCAGCGCGCCGCGCGGACCTGGATCTCGTAAAAAACGGGCGCGTTAGTCGTAGGTCGCGGGCACCTGGTCCGCGGGCGCGCCGGCGATGCAGGCCGTGTCGACGCACCAGCGGGGCCCCTCGCCGTCGGGCAGGTAGGTGCCGAGGTGCGTGCCGCAGGACGACGTCACGAGCGTCGTCGTCGCGTCGACGCGGACGTGCTCGCCGACGACCTCGGCCGCGCGGAAGCTCGGCCAGCCGTGCTCGTCCGTGTCGGCCTTGAAGTCGGCGAAGGAGCGGTTCACCGGCGCCCGGAAGAGCGGCGCGCCGCAGACGGAGTCGTAGAACGTCGTCACGCCGTCGGCGTCGATCTTCGAGAAGAGCGCGACGTCCGGCGCCTGGTAGAGGAACTGGGGCTCCGCGAAGGGCAGCGCGCGCGTGTCGCAGCAGACGACGTCCGCGAGCATCTCGTCGACGCCGACGGCGACGGGCACGCCCGCGGGCGTGCGCCCGGAGATGCCGTACTTCAAGGTCTTTTGCACGGGCCCCGAGCACGCGTCGAAGGGCTTCGGCGGCGCGGACGCGACCGCCGCGGGGCGCGCGACGATGCTCGTCACCTCGAGGTCGACGTCGCCGTCGACGCCCTCCGCCCAGAGCTCGACGCGCGCGATCTTCTCGAGCTTCTCGGCCGTGAGGCACGCGTCGGCCTCGTCCTTGCAGTCGGCCGTGTGGTCGCCCGTCGCGGGGCTCCACTTGTCGGAGAAGGCGGAGAAGGGGACGACGATCTCGCTCGTGGACGCCGTGGCGTTGAAGCGCGCCTTGAAGCAGCCGCGCGACAGCGGGAGCTGATCCGCCGCCGGAGCACGCGTAGGCGGGCGCCATCGTGCCGGAGACGACCGACACCCGGTAGCCGCCGTAGGCCGTCGCGCTCCTGGCGGTGATGACGAGCGAGCCGCCGGCCGCCGCGGACGCGTCCGCGAAGGCGCCGTCGGCGGACGCCTTGATGAAGCCCGGCGCCTTGAGCGACGGCACGTCGACGATCGTGCCGTTCATGCGGCCCACGGTCGTCTGCGTCCAGGTGCCAACGGACTCGCCGCCCATGACCGGGTCGTTGAGCTCCGCGAAGGTGAACGTCGTGCCCTCGGCGCCGTCGAAGGTGACGAGCGCGATGTCGGCGGCGGCGGCGGCGGTGGCGAGGAGGAGGAGGCGCATGGCTTGCTGCATGGTGCGAATGCTGTCAGGTACGATGGATGGATGCTGTGCTTGGTCTTTAGCGGTTGCTTGGCGACGGCGACGACGGATGGATGCTGTGCTTGGTCTTTAGCGGTTGCTTGGCGACGGCGACGACGGATGGATGCTGTGCTTGGTCTTTAGCGGTTGCTTGGCGACGGCGACGACGGTAATGTCTTCGGACGCTCTCGATGACGCGTTCACGTCGCGGTATGCGCGGCCAATCAGCGTCGCAGAGATGTCGCAGCATCATTGCGTCATCATCGACTCGAGGCTCGAGCGAATTGAGGTTGCGCATGGACTCGTCGTCAGCGCGCAGCCGTACTATGCTGCGGCTCCTCCTCCTGGCCCTCTGCGCCACCCGACATGCGGCGCTCCTCCACGCGCCGCGCGCGTCCCTCGCGCCGCGCGCGTCGACCACCGCATTGAGCGCCGACGTCGCCGAGAACACGGAGGCGCAGCGCATCATCACCTGCGGCGCGTGCAAGGCGGTCTACGCCATCGACATGGACATGCTGGGCAGCGGCGCCGGCGCCAAGGTGCGCTGCGAGGTCTGCGGCAACGTCTGGTTCCAGTCGGCCGCGCGCGTGAATTCGCTCTTCGACGGCTTCGAGCTCAAGCCGTACGACGCGGAGAAGGCGAAGCAGTACGAGGAGAGCGCGGCGGGGCGGGCGCCGCCGCCGCGGCGCGTCGCCGGCGCGGCGACGCTCTTCGTCGCGAACCTGCCCTTCTCCTTCGGCGATGCGGACCTCGCGGACCTCTTCGCCGGGTGCGGCGACCTCGCGTCCGCGACCGTCGTCCGCGACGACGACGGCCGGTCCCGCGGCTTCGGCTTCGTCGACGTCGTCGCCGAGGCCGACGCCCAGCCCGCCATCGACAAGCTCAACGGGTCGGAGGTCGACGGCCGCGACATCATCGTCCGCATCGGCAACCGCGGCGGCGGCGGGCCCGGCGGCGGCCGCGGCGGCCGCGGCGGCCGCGGCGAGGGCCGCGGCGGCGGCCGCGGCGGCCGCGGCGACTTTGGCGGCCGCGGCGGCGGCCGGGGCCGCGGCGGCGACCGCTTCGACTAGAGCGCGCGCCGCGCGCGATCGTAATCCATCGCACGAGCGGCCGGCGCAAGTGCCGACGCATGCACTGGCAGCAGAGACGCCGCCGGCGAAGCGACGTCGCTCGATACCGGGTCTAGACCGGGGGGCAATGCGATTCGACTGGTGTTGGCCACTTCCCCGGCCTGCGGCCGTGTCGCTAGCAAGCACCACCACTTAGCTGGGGAGCTTCGCGAGGTTCGCCGCGGCGTCGGCGATGACGTCGAGGGAGCGGACGAAGGCGAAGCGGAGGTACTTCGCCCCGTGCGTCGCCTTGGACGCGCCGAGGTAGAAGTTGTCGCCGGGGACGCAGGCGACCTTGAAGTCGCGCGTCATCTTCAGCGCCGCGTCCGTCGGCGAGAGGCCCGCGAGCGCGGCGACGCCGCCGAAGGTCACGAAGAGGTAGTAGGAGCCCGCGGGCGTCGGCCCGAGGCCGAAGCCCGCGCGCGCGAGCGCCGCGGCCAGCGCGTCGCGCTTCGCCTCGTACTCGCCGGCGATCGCCGCGAGGACCGTCTCGTCCGTCTCGGGATGGTCGAGGAGCGCGGCGACGCCGTGCTGCAGCGGCGTCGGGCAGCAGGCGACGAGCTGGTCGTGGACGGCGCGGATTTTGGCCGTGCGGGCCGCGGACGCGACGACCCAGCCGATGCGCCAGCCCGTGGCCTTGGCGGTCTTGGAGATGGAGTTGACGACGACGGCGCGGCCCGCGCAGTCCGGCCGCGCGGCGAGCGTCGCGTAGGGCCCGCCGCGGAAGCACATGTGCTCGTAGATCTCGTCGGTGACGACGACGACGTCGTGCTTCGCGCAGAGCCGCGCGATGGCATCGCGCTCGGCGTCGGAGAAGCGGTGGCCCGTGGGATTGTGCGGATCGTTGAAGAGCAGGAGCTTCGCGCCCGCGAGCGATGCGTCGAGCTGGCTCTCGTCGAAGCCCCAGGCGTCCTTCCCGGCCGTGAGCGTCACGGCGCGGGGCGTGAGCCCGAAGATGGCGAGCTGGCTCGGGTAGAGCTCGTGGAAGGGCTCGAAGAACGCGACGACGTCGCCGGGCTCCGTCAGCGCGCGGATCGTCGCCGCGAAGCCCTCCGTCGCGCCCATGACCACCGTGACGTTCGCGTCGGCGTCGGCGGCGACGGTCGGGTACCAGCGCTTGTAGTAGGCCTCGATGGCGCGGCGCAGGGCCGGCGCGCCGTAGGGGAACGAGTACTGGTTCAGCGCGTCCTTGCGCTTGCCCGCGGGCACGAGCGCCTCCAGCCTCTTCGCCATGGCCGCCGCGGCGGCCTCCGAGTCGCCGGCGAGCAGCGCGCCGGCGGCCGCGCAGACCATGGCCGTCGGCGGCGCCTCGTTGGGGAAGCCCTGGCTCAGGTTGACGGCGCCGGACTGCATGGCGATGCGCGTCATGAGGCGGATCGTCGACTCCTTGACCGGGCCCGGCGCCGCGTCGTCGGTGCGGAGCTGTTTTACACGTTGGTAGAGCGGATAGGCGGCGAGGCCGCAGGCGAACCCAAAGGCTGCGGAGCGAGCGTCCATGTTTTGCCACAAGAATCGTCAATGAAGGGGAAAGCAGCCGGCGTTGATGGTGGGCTGCTCTCAAAAGCCGACTCGGAAACAGGGTGAGGCGCGCGTCGAAGGAGTGGCCTGCGTCCTCGAGGGCCGTCGCGTCGCGCGGATTCGAGGCCCGAGACCATGAGCTGGTTCGGCCCCTGCCCGGAGTACGGCTACCCCGACTACTGCCCGCCCTACGAGGTGCAGGAGGCGCCGTTCAAGAACCCGGAGAGCCTGAGCAAGGCGCAGAAGCGGCTCGTGCGCCTCGCCCAGGAGAAGGTCGTGGACCAGATCATCTGCGGCGACGACGAGCGGCGGCTTGCGGGCTGGCAGATCATGCACGTGACCATCAAGAACCACGCGCACCAGCCCGGACGCTACGAGCTCGTCGGGCGCCCGCGCCGCGATTCCGCGCGCGCGCGCGCCGCGCCGCTTCCCGCGGCGCGCCGCTTCCCGCGCCGCCCCGCCTCCCGCGCTTCTCCTCCTCCCGCGCCGCGCCGTTCGCGCCGCGACGCGTACCGCGCGCAGGTGTCGCGCGAGGTCTGGGACGAGGAGTTCGACGCGTACTGGGAGCTCGTGAAGAAGATCAAGCCCCTCTACTACTAGGGCCGCGTGTAAGGAGCTAGCCGGGCCGCTCGTCGAGGACGACGAGCGTCTCGATGTGGTCCGCGCCGGGGAAGAGGACGTGGCCCTCGACGTGGACGGTGGCCCACCGCGTTTCGAGGGCCGCGAGGTCCCGCTGGAGCGCGTCGAAGCCGCAGGACACGTAGATGAGGCGCCGCGGCCGGCGGCCCGGCCTGTCGAGCGCGGCGCGGACGTCGGCGCAGAGGCCCTTGCGCGGCGGGTCGACGAGGACGACGTCGCAGTCCGCGAGCCGGCCCGCCCGCGCGAGGTCGCCCGCGGCCCGCGGCTCGTAGGTCAGCTTCGCCGCGAGCGCCGGCGGGAGCCGCGTCTTTAACAAGGCGACGCAGCCGTCGTTCCAGGGGTTCTCGTCGGAGCACGCGACGGACGCCGCGACGTCGAGCAGGTGCGCGCCGATCGTGCCGACGCCGCCGTAGAACTCGACGACCGCGTCGCCGGGCCGCACGAAGCGCTTCGCGGCCTTGACGATCTCGAAGAACTGGCGCAGGTTCGCCTGGCGGAAGCACTGCGGCGCGAAGTGGAGCGGCACGGCGGCCGAGAGCGGCGCCTCCGTCGTGCACCCGGCCGCGTCGTAGGCGAAGCCGGAGGTGCGCGTCGCCGGCTTCGGATGCATCTGGCGCCAGGTCTCGGGCCCGCCCCGGCCGTAGATGGCGTTGTCGTGGGGCGACACGCTGTTGCAGTGCGCGTGGAGCGAGTGCAGCCACGGCGCGCCCGCCACCCTTCTCGCGACGGCCTCCGCGGCCGCGTCCGCGCCGCCCGGCGCCGCGTTGAACACGAGCGACACGGACACGGTGCGCGTCGCCGTCTCCTCGGCGAAGCCGACGTAGGTGAGCGCGCCGTTGCCCGCCGCGTCGCCCGTCTCGTAGACGGCGACGTCGCCGCACGCGCGCTCGACGGCGGCGACGGCGACGTTGAGCGCGTCGGAGTGCGCCGCGGCGTCGCGCGCGCTCGCGCGGATCTCGTGCGTGCCCGGCGCGAAGAGCCCGAGCAGGACGCGGCCGCCGACGCGCCGCGCGGCCAGCTTGGCCACGGTCCGCCAGCCCCGCTTCGGGCCGACGCGGACCTCGCGCCCGGCGCCAAAGTAGCTCCGCCACCGCCCGACGATGGGCGCCGACAGCGGCTGCGCCAGGTACCGGGCCGACGGGTCGGCGTCGCCGCGCTTGCGCTTTTTTGTGTTTTGGCGCCGCGGCGGTGCCGTGCCGTGCTTTTCGCCGCCGCGCTTCTCCTCGCCTCCGCAGCGCGCCGTGAGCTTCGAGCTCATGGCCGCGAGCTTGGCTTTGAGCGACGACATTGAGGTCGAAGTAGCCGCGCTATGCGGAGCTACTTAGCCGGGCTGTTTGGAGCTGATTCGAGCTCATCGACTCTCGGAGAGCTGCATCATCAACACGTTGACCTCCGAGAGCGCAATGGCGCGAATCGGGCTGCCTTCCAAGGCGTGCTGCTTGCTCCTTTCGCTGCTGGGTGGTGTCCCAGCGGCTACCCTGTCGGACATCGCGCGCGCGACGCGGACGCGGGTGAGCGACCGCCTCAGCGGCTCGGATGCCGCCGAAATCTCGGCGAAGATCAACGCAGCCCTGCGGGCTGCGAAGACGCCGCTGCGAGACTGCGCGACGCTCTCGCTCGGCGACGCGGTGGCGCTCGTTAACCTGCTCGCCGACGCGGCGGATCCGGACATCGGCGCGCTCTACGGCGCCGGCGACGGCCGCGGCCGCCGCGGCCGCGCGCGGCGGCCGCCGCCGTCGTCGCGCGACGGATTCGTCGCCGCGCGCGACGCCGCGTGCGCGGAGGCGCTGCTCCTGTGGACGCACCACCTCTCGGAGGACGCGCGCGCGGAGCTGCGACCCGTCGTCCGGCTGCCGACGCTGCCCGTCTTCGACGAAGAGATCGCCCGCGCGCTCGACCCCGACGCCGAGGACGCGTACCGCAAGGGCTTCACATGCCAAACGGGTGCGCGCCGGCGTCCCGTGGCCGTGATGACCTTTGAAGAGTTTCACGGGAGGAGTCGATGACATACACGGTAGGCCACGGCATCGTCGACGCGACGCGGACCGGCTCGGACCACCTGCTACCACACTGGCCCGCGGAGGTCCACTACACGGGCGTCGGCCACGGCCAGCGTCCTGCGGTCGTGACAAATTCGAGAGCTTTTGACTGGGAAATCGAAGAAAAATTTTCACCGACGAGCTTGTAGGCCACGGCGCCTACCCGTTCTGGGCCGGGAGCGAGGGCGCCAAGACGTCGGCGCCGATCGAGGTCTGGTACAGCGAGGCCCTCGCGAGCGAGAAATTTTATCACGCGGCGTGCCATCTCGACGAGGTGAAAGGCCCCTCCGACCCCGCGCCCTGCTTCCACCTCATGACGGGCACGGTGCACCCCCACGGCCCCCCGCGCGACGAGGCCGCGCCGCGCGCCGCCAAGGCCTACCTCTACAGCGCGGACTCGGATTTCTGCTGCAAGAGCTCGGGATCGCCCGAGGACCTCAGCGCGCCGAAGAGCGACTTCATGGACAAGATGACCCTGGACGCGAACCGGACGAGCGTCACGACGGAGTTCTACGACGGGCCGGCGCGGTGGTTCGCCATGAAGCTCGACAAGGGCGAGCTCGTCTCCGACTTCTGGTACGTGACGACGCCCGACGGACGGCCCCTCCAGCAGGGCGAGGGCGGCACGGGACCCGCTTCGAAGACGGGCCGCGGCAACCTCGTCTACCACGACTACAACGTCACGTCCTGGGGCGCGCCCGAGGCCCCGTTCGACGCCGCCATGTTCGACGTCCCCGCCGCGTGCCGGGCGACGGAGAAGCGCTGCGCGTTTCCCTAACTTTACTGGCCCTCTTCCCGTAGCCCGTCCTCCCACGCCTCGAACGCGTCGTGCGCGGCGACCGGCGGCGCGTCCGGTCGCGGCGGCGGTGGGTCCCGATCCTCGCCGCGGAGGAGCGCGTCGGCGTAGGCGCGGGCCGAGCCGTAGCGCGCGCTCTCGAGGCGCGTGAGCGCGTCGCGCAAGTTCCGCCACGTATAGTCGAGGCCTTCGACGGCGGCCGCGAACGCGTCGGCGCGCGGCCGCAGGAACCGCGCGAGGTCGTCGTCGCTTCGTTGTGCGCGGTCTACAAACGACGTCCACCCGGATGCGCTCTCCCCGTCGAAGCGCTCCCGCGCGATGCGTCGGAGCGTCTTGATCGAAGCATCCATTGCCGCGACGCGATCGCGTCGCGATCAATTTTAATAAGCGCGACGCTTGATCGGTCCTGAGGCGAATTTGTTCAGCGAGCGGCGTTTCATGAGAGGGGCAGCCGCCAGCGTGAGGCTTCCGCCGAGCGCAGCGCGATGGCGGCGCCGTCGGGTGGTCCCGACGGCGTCCAAGAAGCGTACACGACCTACGCCGCCCAGGGCGGCGACGGCGCGGACAACTGGGCGACGCGCGCCAAGACCTGGGGCTACGCGCCCGCGGTGCTCGAGTCGCTGGGCCTCGAGGGCGCCGAACGACGGCTCTTCGCCGGCGCGTGCGGCGGCGGCTGCCCGCTCCGCGTCGACGGCGGCCCGCGGCCGGGCGAGACCGTCGTCGACCTCGGCTGCGGCTTCGGCCACGACCTCGTGCTCGCGAGCCGCATGACGCGCGGCGGGCGGATCGTGGGCGTCGACGTCACGGCGGCGATGCTCGACGCCGCGGCGAGGACCGTCGCGGCGTTTTCATTGCCGAACGTCGAGCTGCGGCGCGCGCCGCTCGACGACCCGAGCCTGGGCTCGGGCGTCGCCGACGTCGTCGTGAGCAACGGCGTCTTCAATCTGACGCGGGACAAGCGCGCCGCCTTCGCCGCGGCGTTCCGCTTGCTGAAGCCCGGCGGCCGCCTGCTGCTCGCGGACGTCTGCAAGACGGGCGCGCCGGCGTCGTGACGGCCCGCGGGGTCCTGCGCCGCGGGGCCCCGCGACGAGTGGAGCGGCTGAGTCAGCGGCTGCGAGAGCGTCGAGGCCTACCTGGACCACCTCCGCGCCGTCGGCTTCGTCGACGGCGCGCACCTGTCCTGGACGGCGTTCTACACGTCGCCGACGACGCGCGGCGCGCACTTCTTCGCCGTCAAGCCGGATCCCCGCCGGCGCCTCGCCGCCGCCGCCGTGCTCGCCGCGGCCGCGGCCGTCGTCGCCGTCATCTTCGCGCGCCGGCGATGAGCACGCCGATCCCCGACCCCATGGCGGCGCGCCGCGTTCCCGAACAGCGCGGCGCGCCCGACCGTCGGGGGACATTGTACAGTTGGTTTACGCCGACTCGGAGGCGAGCTTCTCCCGGAGGAGGTCCGCGTTCTGCTCGATGACCCAGGACGCCATGTGGGCGAGGAGCGCGACCTGGACCGGCGCGAGCGCGAGCTGCGTGAACGTGTCGTAGAAGGGGAAGTTCGGGAAGTCGTCGCCCTTTTTGATGGCCTCGCGCGTCTCCGACGGGAGCGCCGCGAGCCACTTCGACGGCAGGTCCAGGTAGACCAGGGTCAGGTCGACGCTCCGGCCCGCCTCGACGCCGAAGAGGTCGTTGCGCACCGTGACGACGGACGCGGACGCGACGGCGCCCGTGCCGCGCGCGGCCGCGTCCTGGAGCGCGAGGCAGAGCGGCGCGAAGCCGCGCGCGTCGAAGACGTGGTTGTGCGAGAGCTCGGCCTCGAGGTCGCGGCCCACGTCCATGCCGAAGAGCGCGGGGACGTACTCGTCGACGTCCGCGGCCGTCGGCGCGCGCGCCGCGGGGTCCCACCGCGTCCGGGGCGCGAGCGGCGACAAAGTCGCGTCAAACACGACCGCGCGCGTCGCGCCCCGTTGCAGCAGCTGGACGAGGCCGAAGTTCTCGACGTCGCCGCCGTCGCCGAGCACAAAGTAGGGCGGCAGCGCGAGCGACGGCGGCGCCCAGAGCCGCTTCGTCGGCACGAGGTTGGACAGCGTCGCCGCCGCCGCGCCCGTCGCCGTCCCGTCGCTCGCCCCGCCCGCGCCGAAGATCTGGGTCAGCACGCCGCCCGGCGCCATCGACGCGACGCCGACGGCGTCCGCGAGCGAGAAGAGGTGCGTCGGCAGCGCCACCGCCGTCGACTCGTTGCGCGCCGCCGCGCGGAGGGGCACGGCGCCGAGCGCCCACGTCTCCTGGAGGCCGCCGACGGCGAGCGTCTCGTTGCCGCCGCCGCCGCGCTTCGCGTAGGTCACGTCGACGGCGCTGGGGCTGCCCGTCGCGTCGGCGCCGAGGGCCAGGGGCAGGTAGATCTTCTTCTGCAAGGGCACGAGATCCGCGGGGCCCTCCACGGAGCCGCCGAGGACGAGCGTCGGCGACGGCGACCGCGGCGCGAGGGGCGCGGACTCGCCGCCGTAGAGCGCCGGGTTCCGCGCGACGGCGGCCTTCGCCGCGCCGTCCGACGCGAAGAAGGGCTGGTGGCTCCCGACGCCGAAGGGCTCGAGGTAGGACGCGAAGATCGCGTCGCGCCAGATCTCGTCGAGGGGCTTGTGGCTGTAGACCGCGCGCTCCGCGAGGAGCTCGACGCAGGTCTTGAGGATGGCGCCCGGCGCGGAGAAGAGCTTCGGCGTCGCGGACGCTGCGAGGGCCGCGAGGGTCAGCGTCTCCGGCGGCGTCGTCGCGCCGAGGTCCGCGGCGGCGTCGTCGCCGTAGTAGTGCGGCCCGAAGAACCAGCCGCCGCCGGACACGGCGGCGAGGAGGCCCGACGCGGGCCAGAGGTCGAGGGCCTTCAAGGCCCGCGTCCAGCCCAGCGCGAGCGTGAAGGCCCGCGCGCCGCCGCCGGAGAACGCGAGCGCGGGGCGGGTCCCGGCGCGCGACGACGCGAACGCCGACGCGTCGCTGAGCACCGTCGCCGCCGCGCCGTCGCACGCGCCGAGGCCCGCGAGCTCGCTCTGCGCGCACCGCGACGCCGCGCCCCGGGCCACGCAGCATTCTTTTTCGCATTCGTTGTAGACGCTGCCCACGGGGTGGCAGCCCCGGCTCCCGGGGGCGGCGCACCAGGCGCAGACGTGGAAGCCGGAGACCGTCGTGTCGACGCACTCCGCGGGGTCTGTAGTCAGAGTGCATGGGAACGAGGGGACGAAGGACGCCCCGGCCCCAGCGGCCAGGAGGACGAGGGCCCGCCACATCTTGCTCCGCGGGCGGCACGAAGAACGCGAGGCCGCGGAGGTGGATCGTGAAGTGCCGGTTCCGTGCTCGTGCAAAACTCTCGGACAGCAAGCTCGCAAGCAAGCCGAGAAACTGCTCGCGTGCCACCGGTCGCCGAGGACCCCCGGGGCATTATTAGCTCGCTCACCAAAACACGATGACGAGCGAGGCATTGAAAGAGCCCGAGGGCCTCCGCTCCCCGTCCAAGGCGATTACCATGCTCGAGCGTGCGCTCGCTTTAAAAGAGCGCGAGTTGGGCCGCGACCACCCCGAGGTGGCCATCACGCTGACGAAGCTCGCGAACGCGCACGGCTCCCTCGGCGCCGCGGCGAAGCAGCGCGACCTCCTCGACCGCGCGCGCGCGATCCGGGAGCGCGAGTTGTCGTCGCCGGCGACCCCGTCGTCGCCGGTTTTTTTCCTCGACCGCGCGCGCGCGATCCGGGAGCGCGAGCCGTCGACGCCGGCGAGCCCGTCGACGCCGGCGAAAACCGGGGACAAGGCGAGCGACGCGCCGCCGCCGAACGAGGCCGCCCGCGAGCCGTCATCGCCGGCGAGCCCGTCGTCGCCGGCGAAAACCGGGGACAAGGCGAGCGCCGCGCCGCCGCCGAACGAGGCCACGCCCCTCGCCGCGCACCTCGTCATCTGGGCGACGCTCGCCGCCGTCGTCGCCGGCTTCGTCGCGCTCTTCACGGGCATGGGCGTCGGCGTCTGGTACGTGATCCGCACGCGGCGCCTCGAGCCCGTGGGCTTCTGGTGCGGCTCCGCCGCCGCGGTCCTCTTGCTCGCCATGGGCGTGCTCGACGCGGGCGAGTGGCGGCGGACGTGGCTCCGCAACGGCGTCGCGGGCGTCGCGGGCGCGTGCCTCGTCGTCTACGCGCTCCTCAACGTGGACCACTACGCCTACGGACCGCTGTGCTTCTTCGTGCTGGGCGTGCCCGTCGCCCTGTGCGTCGCGGGCGCGGCCGCGGGCGGCGACCTCGACGGCCGCCTCGAATCGTTCGGGCGGTTGGGGTTCGCGCCGCTCGCGACGTGCGGCCTCGTCGCGGGCGTCGCCTGGGGCCTCTGGGTCGGCGGCGTGCCGTTCGTCAAACGCAGCGGCAACACGTGGCCGGAGTCGCGCGACGCCTACGGCGAGCGGCTCAGCGCGAACGGCGTCCGCTGCCGCGAGACGCACGAGGAACATTGGATGGACGACGACGAGATCGAGGATTTGACGCCCTACGCGCGGTGCCTCGAGGTCGCGTTGCTCTGGGTGTCGCCGTGCATCTACGCCTTGGCGCTCCTCGTCTTCGCGGCCGTCGCCCGGCTCGTCGCCCGGACGGAAAAAGTCGCGAAGAAGCTCGGGGTGCTCGTGGCGTTCTTAGGGGCGGGCGCCTGGTGCGCGGCGTCGCTCGCGGGCGCGGCCCACGGCGTGTCGACGGCGCTCTTCGCGGCGTGCTTCGCCGGGTGCCTCGGCCTCGCCTTCGTGGCGGCGCACGTCCACGGCCTCAAAGGTCTCGTCGCGGCGCTCGCGGTCGACGGCTCCGCGGCGCGCGGCGCCTTCGACAAGTTCGTCGCGCCGTATTTGGACGCGTGGAAGGGCCTGCTCGTCCTGGTCGCCTGGCCGCCGTTCCTCGGCTACCTCCTGTTCTCGTGCCTCCGGCGCGCCGTCCGCGGCGCGCGGGGCACGCACAAGAAAGACGGCGCGATCACTGGCGAAGCGGCGGCGGTCGTCGGCGCGCTGCTGTCCTGGGACCTGACGCCCGTGCTCCGCTTCGCCGCGCTCTGGGGGTTCGGCGTCGTCGCGCTGACCGTCGTCGTGTCCAAGTTTACGGTGCTGCTCATGTCCGTCGTCGTGTCCATGGCCGCGGACTCGACCGTCGGCGTCGCGACGGCGATCATCGTGCTCGTGGGTCTAGGCCTCTTCCTGCTGCCGCCCGTGCCCGGCGCGCCCATCTACCTCGCCGCGGGCGTCCTGCTCACGGAGAACGGCACGAAGAACGGCATGACCGTGGTCATGGCGGTGTGCTACGCGAACGCGATCTCGCTCGGCACGAAATTGGTCGCCTGCACGCTCCAGCAGAAGGTGATTGGTTCGAATCTGAAGCACCGCCTCGCCGTGCGGCGCCTCTGCAGCGTGAACTCGGCCGTCGTGCGCACGATGCGGCTGGTGTTGTTGGAGCCGGGGCTGTCGCTGGCCAAGGTGACGATCTTAGTCGGCGGGCCCGACTGGCCCACGTCCGTGCTCTGCGGCATCCTGGGGCTGGACCTGCTGCCCATCCTGCTGGGCACGCTCCCCGTCTTCCTCCTCATCCTCCCGACGGTCATGGGCGGCGCCTTCCTGTCCATCGACGAGTCGTACGCGCAGGTCGCGTCCGTGCTGAGCGTCGCCTGCGCGGCGGCCGTGCAGACGGGGTCGCTGGTCGTGGCCGCCGTGGAGCTCGACAGGCAGATGGCGGCGCGCAAAGACGAGCTCGACGACGTGCCCATCGACGAGGAGGTGCGCGCCGCGGACGACGCGGACGCGGAGCGGCGGCGCCGCCTCGCGGCGAACACGCGCTGGGCGCGCGTGCCGGGGAGCTGGAGGGCCGCGCTCGCGGCCGCGACCGTCTTCATGACGGCGTCGTCCTACCTCTGCACCTACTGGTCCTCGGACTGCTTCCGCGAGTTCGCGATCGACGACTCCGTCGCGAAGCGCCTCGGGCACTGGTCGCGCATCCTCAAGCCGCCGGGCGTCTTCGCGCTCGCGCTCTTCACGGTGTCGTGCGTCATCCACGGCGCCTTCCACTTCGGCTGGTTCCGCCACCAGACCCACGCGACCGCCGCCGACGGCGGCGACGGGGCGGACGCGTAGCGGACACGCGGCCCGCGGCGTTCTGCGCGGGCGACCCTCTAATAACCCAGCGAGACGGCTTAGTCTCGCGGCGCAGTGCCGGGTCGCGATTCCCCGGGTCACGCGGCCTCGAGGGCGGCCTCGAGGGCGGGCGCGGGCGCGGCGGCGCCCGGCGCGCCCGGCGGCGGCATGCCCCGGAAGCGCTTGCGGCGCTCGCCGAGGAACTCGACGCGGGGCGCGCCGTCGTCGTCCAGGGGCGGCTCGGCGGCGGAGCCGTCCGGCGGCGCGCGCGGCGCCGCGCCCGGCCGCGCGTCGACGATGGCCTCGACGATGTCGTCGGCCTCGCCGCGGAAGACGGCGCGCAGCCGTTCGACCATGGCGTCGAAGGACTGGGGCGGCGGCCCGCCGCCGTCGCAGGCGCCGAGCACCGCCGCGGCGAACGCGTCGAACGTCTCCGCGTCGTCCGCGTAGCGGTCCCAGACCTGGGCAGCAAAAGGGTGATTCAACGTCGCCTTAATCTTGAGTGTTCCGCGCGCGCGCGTTCCAAAAAAAGCATCCATGCTTCGAGACCGCTCCGAGAGATGATCGCTCGTCCAAAAATCAGCCGAAACGAGTGGAAACCAGCCGAGATATGAGCCTCCAAAGTTGGGAATGTCGCACTCTTTTGCTGCCCGGTCCCAGACCTCGTAGACGAGCGCGCGCATGCGCGCGTAGTCCGTGCGCACGGCGGCGCGCCGGCGCTTCGTCCGCAGCGGGCCCGCGCCGAGGAGCTCGGCGACGGACTCGGGCGCGCGGCCCGCGTCCGCGACCTCGTCGAGCGATCGGCCCGTCGCGGCCGCCATGGCGCCCGCGGCCGCGCGGAGCGACGGCCGCCGCCGCACGGCGGCGTCGCGGGCCGCCCGCGCCGCCGCGCGGCTCGCGAGGGACGCGACGAGGGCGTCGAGCGTCGCGCGCTTGGCGCCCGTGTCGTCCGCGGCGGCGTCGCCGGCGCCGCGCGCGACGTCGAGCGCGTCGTCGTCGTCGTCGTCGTCGCTGGCGTCGCCGTCGCCGGGCGCGGGGGCCGGCGCGTGGTTCGAGGCGTCGCCGTCGCTGTCGCTGTAGGCGTCGAGGTCGCTCGACTCGCCCGTGCCGCCGTGGAAGAAGCGCGGGTCGTCGGCGGCGCGCGGCGCCGCGCGGGGCCCGACGCCGTAGCGGGCCGCGAGGAGCTCGCGCTGGCGCCGGAGGAGCTCCGCGGCGTCCGGCCGCGGCGGGGGGGCGGCGGCCGGCGGCGGCGGCGGCGGCGGCGCGGGCGGCGCCGCGGGCCGCGCGGCGGCCGGCGGCGGCGGCGCCGCGCCCGGCGGCGCCGCGCACGTGAGCGCCGCGATGGTGTTGGCCGCGGCGACGGCGGACATGGCCGGCGCGCCGACGTTGTTGGCCGGCGGCGGCGCGCCGCCCGCGAGCGGCGCCGCGCGCGGCGCCAGCGCCGCGATCGTCCTCGCCGCGGCGATGACGCGCGACGCCGCGGCGACGACCTCGCGGACGCCGGCGTCGGCGGCCGGCGCGCCCGCGGCCTGGAGCCGCGCGAGCGTGCCGTTGTAGTCGACCCAGGCCCCGCGCCACGCGTCGTGCGCGGCCGCCGGGTCGACGAAGGGCGGCGCGGGCCCGGCGAGCTGCCGCTGCCGCTCGAGGAGCTGCCGCGTGTGCTCCTGCTGGAGCTGGTAGGCCTGCAGCTGCCGGTACTGGGCCGCGCGCGCCGCGTCCGCGGCCGGCGGCGGCGCCGCGGCGCGCGGCGGCGGCGGCGGCGCCGCGGCCGGCGGCGCCGCGGCCGGCGGCGCCGCGGCCGGCGGCGCCGCGGCCGGCGCGAAGGCGAGGAGGTCGAGGCGCGGCGCGGCGCCGCCGGCGCGGTCGCGCCAGGCGCGCGTGTAGTCGGACTCGCGCGGCTCCGGCGGCGGCGCCGCGGCGGCGGCCGCGCGGCGCGCGGCGGCCGCGCGGTCCGCGTCCGCGGCCGGCGGCGCGGGCGGCGCGGGGGCGGCGCCGTCGGGCGCGTCGTGGACGGGGAGGAAGTTGTCGAAGTCCTTGATGAGGTCCGGGTAGCCGTGGAGGAGCGTCGCGATGCGCCGGCTCACGTCCGCCGCGGAGAAGACCTTGCGCTTGTAGGCCTTGAGGAGCTCCACGAAGGTCGCGATGGTCCGCGGCGAGAGCTTGTGGACGCTCCGCATGCGCGCGACGTACTCCAGGGCCTCCTTGTTCGACGGCGCCTTGTGCCGCGGCGGCCGCGGCGCCGCGGCCGCGGGCGCCGCGGCCGCGGGCGCCGCGCGGGCCGGCTCCGCGGCGGGCGCCGCGGGGGCCGGCGCCGCCGG